GGAAAGCTGATTGTGAGCTAGGTCTTCTCATCTATCTGGAAAGTATGTCGTCAGTGCACCTCTTGCTTCAGGAGTTAATTTTTCTTGACATTCTTGCAGCATATCACAAACGATTGCAACCTTTCGGTACCGCGCAGGTTTCCTTCATCAGGCAAGCATTCACTTTAAATGTGTGGTTCAGAAACATTGCAGACCTGTCTGATTTGCTGCAAGAACGTTAATAAAGATGAACTTCTGAAGCAAGATGTTCGCTAAAGACATATTTTTCTGATGCATTTCTGTGGCACCATCCACCAGTTGTCCCAGCACCCAATTTGAAGGAGTACAGCGGTATGGTGTGCCAAGGAGATATATTCATAACATAGCTCTTCTATTCCAGCCCCAGTACTGGGCCTCACAAATACTCTATTGGCTAAATGAACACAAATCCCCAGAGACCCACTCCAAAATCTTATGGAAAGCCTTCCCAAAAGGGTGGAGGCTGGTATAGTGGTGGAGGGTGACTCCATATTTATACCCAAGGTTTTTGGAATGGGATGTCCAACAAGCTCATATTGGTGTGATGGGCAGGTGTACACAAACGTTTGGCCATAAAGTGTATCTATACATGTACTCAAGGGTTATCGAAAATGCTTGGATTATATATAGAGAAAAAGGACAGCCACTAAGTGTTCCCATTCCCTGCTGCTGAAGAGGGGCGTCCTGTAATTTAAAAGCCACTGAGTATACCTGAACCTGGATCAGCATTATATCTGGTCCTTCGGACCCCTTATCAGTCAACACCTTACTGCTGAGTTTACAACAGCAGACCCCACAAACCCATGCTCCTTTAGTAAACAGGTTAAGGTTAACTTTATCATAACCTTTTTTACAAACTAACAAAAAAAATCACATTGACGTACATTAAAATGTACATGAATTCATGTTAAAAAAGGTGTGTTAGCACATGTGAAAATGTATGCAAAAGTGTATTATATCAACATGTAGTAGTGCAAGAGCAGAAATATGAGCCATCCCTGATGGTAAGATCTCTCAGTTTTAATTTTTCACACTCGCTGCAGAATTTACTAAGCAGTCCAACTTTTTCTGTTACATTTTTATTTTATGGAGAATACATTAGGAGAGAGAACAACTCAGAACACTTGTGTTTGGACTAGATCAAAGAGACTCCAAGCCGAGTAGGAAAAGAGAAGGGAGATTTCACTGCCAGAGTCCGCATGATATGTAAGAAGTCAGTAGCTGACTACTTCTAGACTCATCCACCTATAAATTAATTATCATTGTGAAGCCAACTGGCCCTTTAAGAATGTGCAGATTAATTGCCTCGAAGAGCGGCTGGTTATTTTAAAGGAAGGTTGAAACTATAAAGTCATGATGTGGTTTATATAATAGCTGATTCCAGGCACGCATCAACAAAGAATTCTGTGTGTGTTGAGTGAAACCGCAAATCAACATCAGGCAAACTTACATCCTGCAGCAACCTAACACTTGCCTGGTTTTGTGTGAGGAGCGTCCTCTGGTTTTTTTTCCATCGGCGAGTTTAAATATAATCATATATAACACTTCCTTATAAGACAAAGGAACCTGTCCTATACAAATGGAACTCACAGGGAGTGTAGGTATATTTTCTAGAAAAAAAAATCGATTTTATTATTATCAATGTGAAGCAGCAAACTGTTGAGAACATGCATGCCAAAATTCTAAGTAGAGATCCATACAAAACATTTTTGTTTATTTTGGATAAAGTAGGGAAGCTTAACAGTTAAGCTGTTTTCTTGATCTTACATCACAGGACACAGGCAGATATATCTTGAATGAATGGGACATCCTAAAGCAGTGCAACAGAAGGGGGCAACACAGCAAACAACTGCTAACAGACCTGTGAAAACAATAAAAACCAACTCCAACAGGAAACTAGAACAGAAGGAGCTCACAAGTCAGAGTCAGAGGGACTTTGCAGCCAAAGCTAGCGTTCACAGAGGCCTGAACAGTCACTTGGTAAAACTTGGCAAAAGTGTGAACAGAGGAGCAGGTGGAAGCCTTACAGATCTGGGCCTACTGTCCCTAGCAATAGTGAAACAAGAATTTGGCTTCTCAAGAATGGCAAACAGGGAGTTAGACTTGTGGATTGAAGCAGTATCTAAAAGGTAAACACTAATGGCCCAAACCACATCCAAAAATTGGAGAGTAAGTTCCTTAGCATGTATAGGAGGAGGAAATAAGGATGGTAGGACAATGTTCTGATCAAGATGGAAGGCAGAGACCACCTTAGGCAAAAAGGAGGCCCTAGGCCTCAGAACCATCTTATCCTTAGTGATAATGCGAAAAGGTTCTTTACAAGTGAAAGCAGCCAATTCAGGAACACGCCTGGCAGCAGGGATGGCAATGAGGAAGGTCACCTTGCAAGTGAGTAGGGCCAGAAGGTGATCTCCAAGAGGTTCAAAGGGTGGTTTCTGCATTGACAGGAGTAAGTAGAGGTCCCACAGACACACTGGAGTGCATACATAGTGGACAATATTAGCGACCCCCTCAACAAATGCCTTCACTAGAGACTGGGAGGCAAGAGGCCAATGTAAAAAAATTTTGTCTAGGCCATACTGAATGAAAGAAATGATGTGTCCCATGAAGTACTCCCTGGTATGAAACCTTCTTTCTTTGTACGAAGCAAAATTAGCCTCCCAGGTGCAATGGTCGACCTTGTGGGAGGTCAGCTTCCTAAAATTCAAAAGCCTAGGGATAACAGCTCCTGAGAGGCCTCTGTCTTTCATGACCTGGGCTGCAACAGCCAGGACATTAAAGCCAGTGACCGAGAAGCAGAGTGGAATACTGGTTCTTGGGACAGGAGGTCTGGACAATCCAGAAGAGCTCATGGAGAGCCTGCCAAGAGTTTGGCTACATCAGCATACCACAGTCTCCTGGGCCAGCTGGGAGTAATGAGAATCACCGGAATGTCCTCCATCTCACTCCTGCAAAGGAGATGAGGCAAGAGCTTCAAAGGAGGGAAGGTGTAGATCAGGCTAAACTGAATCCATGGAGTTACTATTGCATCCACGGCGAAGCCCCTGGGATCCCTGTTCCTGGTGACAGAACCTGCCCAGTTTGTGGTTAAACCTCAACACCAGCAAGTCCAAGTCTGGTTTCCCCTACTTGAGATAGACGTCCAGAAACACCTCTGGGTAAAGGGGTCTAGACGTTGGTGATTGAGGAAGTCCGGAAGTGAGGTAGTAAAGGGAAAACCTCTTTTTAGACAGCTGTCACTTCCCCACTGGAAGACTTCCCCTCCCCTCCTCTTCCAGTGGCAACTATAAATGGTGGATCTTACATAATTTTCAGTCCATATTATAACAGTCACAAAGACAGGGATAAAAACCTACAAAAATCCAAAGGAAAAAAACAGAGCACTGCAAAGCAATTCATACGCTGATAACATTATTCATCTGGACAATTTAAACAGAGTCCCGGCCTGGGATCTCCTCCTCTAATCCTGCACCAATCTATCTAAAACTGAAAAAGAAGTGTTGGCTTTATGCACTTCAACAAAATTGAATTCATGAATGGGTTTATATGACAAGGTTAAAGAACAGTAAGATCAGTTTCCACCTTCATTTTGGAGTTGCTTATACTATGAGTGCAGCTTGGATGCTGATGCAGGTTGCAGATTTCTTCTCTAATACCATTGCTTACTATGATAGCTTTTACTCATTTTTATTAAAACATTTCAGAAATTCTGATCTTTTCTTAATATATTACCTAAATATCACATGCTTTTAAAGTGAAATAAAGGACCACTACTTCACCTCAATATTTATTTTAATGCAAATATTACCGATGAAATTAAAGTCACTACAGCATAAAGACAGGAGGAGAGGAAATACATTTGCAATGCTCTAAAATGTAAAATGTAAAAAAAAAAAAAAAGCTCTGAGTTTTAGATGCACCCAGGAAAGGCTTGTTTAGTGCCCCCAGACATCCTTCCTATGGCTAGAGGAGGCTTTAATGTGAGAAGTGCCATAGTTACACTAGGCACTCCTACACACACACATAAAGAGTGAATTGAGGCATCCAGGCCTGCGTGCAAAAACAACTATCAAATCTTAAAAAGCAAATCCACCTAAAACTAATTACTCAGTAATAGGCATCAGCAGGACGGTTCTGTACCTTTCCCACTTGCTAATGTGGCAGCCCTCCAGAAAATGATACTTCAGTTATCCATGGCATCACCCGTTGTCTTCTCATATCTCTGCCCTCCATCACAACCATGACAAAGCCATGCACAGTAGTGCCACTCTTTTTGCTTATTCTTTGTATTGTAAAATAACTAAAGAATTCAGCAGCAAGAGTAAAACCATCTCACAACAGCTATGACAAGTGGTAGAGCTAGAGAACTCATGTTGGAGACCCTGAGAGATACAAGAAGTTTGTAATCAACTTGCCAACATCCACTGAACACTATGGGTACCAGAATACTACCAGTAAGATGAAAGTGTTCTTGAGAACTCTTCTGTCCTCTGGAAAGGAGATCCCCGTACCCACATTTTTCTCACTCTGCTCACTTCTGTTGCTGGCCAACCCCTGCCCCCTACACCCTAGAAGAATGGTAGAGGAAACGGATAACAACATTGCTCAGCATAGAATTTTTCTGTTCATGAACAAAGTCTGCCAGAATCTCCCTGTTGGTTCTCCAAGAATCTTAACTGAGTTACTAGTTTTTGGTGGGTTTACTTTTTAAAGGGGATTTCCACTTTACCACTTAAAATCTCTCCTCTTCCAACTTCATATTAGAAATCACAAGCTCAGAATGTACCTAAAGTGCACCTGTAGGGAACAAATTAGTTATACCTTATTTGATAGGTGGCTGCCAGTCCTTGCACAAGCGTACTGCGTGTCAGGGACACGCCAGATACTTCTGATCTTTCACTCTTCTCCACAGAAAAGCAAAAGATCCAGCAAGATGAAAATCTTCCTTTGCAATAACAATGCCCTTTCACTCCCAGGTTCTCTACTAAGTTGGAAATGACCAGGTTATTGCAAGGGATGGTTGAAATTGGAAGCATTGCTCGCCTTTTTCAGGTGAGCTATGGCCACAAGAAGTCCACAAAAAAATGTAAACAATGGCATAGGCCTCATGAGCCCTGCAGTGTAAAGTGGAAACCCCCTTAAATGAGGCACAGATTCAGACTAGAAAACCATCTTCATTTCATATGCCCAAGACATGGGCCGTACCGAAAACCAAAAATATAACTGGTTACCTGTTTTTAACAGATTTTGAAAAAAATTCTTATAACACAAATAAAAAACACTGACATTATTTTTCATATCAGAAATCCCTTGCGCATTGGGATTCTCATCACCATATAAAGCTACAAAAAAACTTTTTTTTTTTCCACTGCGTAACAGAAACCCCACTTCTGAGTGACATAAAAAAGTCATAGACCAGAATTTCACCAAAATTACAGTGCTCACATTTTGTTCCCTTTATTACAGCAGAGTTTGTTGCCCGGAGAAACCTCTTTCTTCCGCAGAGATTTTTTCCATGGTTCACTTATGCTAGACTTTTCGCTGCAACCAGCTGCCAAAAAGTCATAAATGCGACCTCTGCGTTCAAAAGCCCCACCTGCGGTTGCGCCATCACAGCCTGAGTTGAGAAGGCTTCGTTTTTCCTCTGCCGTTTCTTCCTCGTGCAAGTTTAGCTTATGAGGAAGTCGTGCATTAGTCACAAAACCACCACATGAAGGCCCCTGGATGTTGTTCCTGTAGGAAGCAACATCTGCTGAGTTGTAATCCAAGTGGTGAGAGCATCCTGGCAAGGACAGGTTACTGCTGGATAGCGAAGAAGCTGCGGCATGCCCTCCATTTGCATTAACAGTCAAAGGAATGTTTAGATAATGGCCCCCACATTCCTGGTAAAAACAACATGTCTGAAGGCTACTGTCATCCTTGGCTATCCGAAGGCGTTTGCGGTAAGGGCAGTCCTGGGGCACAAACCACTCCTGTGCCGACGTTGATCCCAGAGCGCAGGCGGAGAAACACCAGTTGTTCTGCAGTAAGATCTCTCCGTGAATCCTTTTCATCAAGTTGTTGATGAGGACCGACCTTCTCAAGAATACTTCTGGATCATCGATGAATTTTAATTTCTCCAAGGACATGTAGAGAACATGGGCCCTCTCCTCAAAGACAGATACATTCTAAATGGAAAAAAAAGAATAGTCAAAACAATGTATTCCATTAAACAAACATATCTAAACTAGAGGTGCAGAACCTGAGGGTCATCATAGCACCTCACAACCAACTGCTTGCGTCTAAAATATTTATGGACGAATAGCAACATGGCAAATAACACTTTTCTAAAAAAGTAAATGTTACTTATAACCATCTGATAACCCCAAGAATTTTTGAAGGAGTCCAGACTCACAGGTGTTTCAATAAAAGTAAAAGCTGGTATTTACAAAATCCTTTTAAAGACAATGGGGTCTATTCACCAAGCTGCCGAGGGCAGCCGAGTGAATGACCGATCTGAAGTGAAGTGAGCCGAACACTGTTCGGCTATTCACTTCAGGCTGGTACGGCTGATTTCAGCCGTACATCGGCTGAAATCAGCCGTACATCGGCTTGCTTCGAGTGGCTTCGATAGACTCCAATATTAAAACTTTGGAAAGCCGAAACTTGTTTTAGTTAAATGAGTAGAGAGGGTTAAAACTTCTATCAAGCTAGCGTTTGCTGTCTGTATCCAGCTGGGAAGATATTCCTTCACTTCCTGTCCTGCAGATGCAACAGGAAATGAGAGGAAATCCCTTCACAGACAGCTGCCCCTTTGGAGGATTTTTGGAGGGTGAATCTCTATGGTGGGGGCAGACAGCTATAAAAACTCAAATAAGGCTTAAACAGTTGTAAAGGCACTTCTCCTATGCTGGAATGTATTAGTCTTAGTTCAGTGCATACTGTGAGCTTCTCACATTAGAGCAATGTGCAACTCTAGTAAGTCAGCTAGAGTCCACCTCATTTCCTGGCTGGAGGATGTCCAGTATCATCCAGCCTTGCCCACTCCTTCAGACTGACATCCACCCATCAAGGCATTTTGATTTTTGCATAACCCCTTCCAAGAGTAGACCCACTGCTTGAATCAGTGCAGAGGGTTCTTGAGATGAGTACTGAGGCCGCCCCCACAAGTCATGATCACTGCATTGAGAAGCATAGAGACCCAGTGATGATGTCACTGGGTTTAAATAAGGTATAAAATGAAAACCAAAATGTTTTATTTTAAAATTTCATTAGCATGTTGATAAGGGGGAAAGGAGGAACAAGGGAAAGCAAAATATAAACCGATTTAACTTCAGCTTTCAGCATTTTGTTCTGTCCTTAGGAGTCTGTGCAGCACAGGTTTGGAGCCCCAGCTGACACAAATGAGAAGGGAAGTGACAGATTTGGTTCTCTCTTCAGGAGCCGGATACTGGCATCATGCAGCACAGATTAGGAACCCCCGGCTGAAAAAGGTAAAAAGGGAAGTGACAGATTCTCTTTGGTTTCTTTAGAAAAAGAAAAACAACCTATGCACATGATTAAATAAACTTGTGGTTTCTTTCTTGTGCGTGTCAAGGATTTTAGTGAGGAGATCTTCATATGCAATGACGACAGTATACCACAGGAAATCTGAGATGTCCTTTGTAGATACACAGGCGCCATGTATATAAATTATGCATTCCTTCTGGTCCTGTCTATTATAACTGATCAAAGTCAGGCTGTGCCATTGCAGCCACTGAGAAATGTAAATTTATTTTTAACTTCAACTTTTTAACTTCTTCTTTACCCATAGGACACCATCAAACACGAATGGTTGCACTTGGCCTTTTCTTTATTAATCCAGATAGTTTATGACAGGTGTATGATATTTTATAGGGGAACCAATACAAGTGGAAAACATCCCTAGGAAATGATGGGAAGATACTATATCATGGCAAAAGCATTGCTGTTTTCTCTGTGTATAAATTTTCCAAGGCCTAGTTATGCCATTTCTGTTGGCTGGATTCTTTCCTTCCTTTGTAATGACCATGGCAGCTGAATTAAACTGGGAATCCAAGTAGGCATAACTGAGCAAAAAAATTGCAACAATGTGATTTAGCTTTCCAGTAACTACACAAAATTATCATTTATATTTTGAGTAGAACTAGTGTATAGCTAGTAGATGTCTAATTTTTGTGTATAAGGTGAATACATAAATATGAATAACTAAAGTTAATAAAGTAACAACAGATACTAATACACTATCTGGCGAAACGTACGAGTACACCTCTTCAAGTATTCCCATTCAGGTGATTCTAATGCTAATGCTACAACATGCAAGGACCTTTCAGATAATTATGCCCTTTCAACCTTGTGACAACAGTTTGGAGAAGGCCCTTTTCTGTTCCGGCATGACTGTGCACAAAGCCAGCTCCATAAAGACATGGTTTGAGGAGTTTGGTGTGGAGGAAGTTCACAGGAGAGATCTAGTTCTGCATCTAATTTTTCCAGGTGCATCAGTTGATAAAAGGTTTCGGGAGAGTCTAGCTATGGAGGGAGGGTCCTGAGACAACCATTCCCTCATTATACATCATTTTGCCACTAGGAGACATATGCTGGTCCATTGTCCATTGGTCTGATGTGTAGTGGAGGAAGATGTAGCTGCATTATTCCAATACCTAAGCAGTAATATCAGTGAATCAAGGCATATATTGTCCTCGCAGCTCGGCAACATAGTCAAGGACCTGAGACCAAAAGAGTTAAGTCTTAGGACATGGCCATAGACAGTGAAACAACATGGCAGCAGGTCCCCCACATTTAGGACAGCAATTACCGGATGTAGTGTTTGGATGGCTGGTTCCTTTAAATATGAATGCATCTGTGTACTATTTTGCATTGAGTGTCTCTCCATTGTTCATTGACTATCACCAATCTGGTTGTACGAAAGCCTGATTTTGTGGACAAAGTCATCTACGGGTATATCTAGTGCCCATTTTGCCACATTTGAGTCTTCCAAAGGGGTATATGGTCGAGATGGAAACCTTTGTATTGGCAACTAGTTTATCAAAAAAAGTATTAGCTAGTGCTAATGAGTGAGAGATTGCTAAAGTGAGTGCTAAAGTGAGAGATTGGGAACTACAGTTCATATAATTGTGGTGAATTGAGAAAAGTGCAAGTAGTCTCCAGCAGGTACATTCAATTTGTTGATAAGCTCCTGAAATGTGAGTAGTCTAGTAACGTCAGCCAAAAAGATATGGCTGAGATTAGTAATATATTTAGCCCCCAATGATGAAAGGCTATATAATCTTCCCCCAGGGAATTGAAGGATCACCCTTAATGGTTAGGTGTTTGGAAAATTAGTGAGGTAATTTCAGGTATTTACGAACCTCCCTCCAAACCACCACCGTCTCTCTTGTCAGAACATTCATGTGAAGATGGGGAGGTAATTTAGAAACAGTACAGTGTAATATTGTGTGGAGCTTCCAGGGGTCTACCATTCTAAGTTGGAGTAGTAGGAGGTGGCATGTAGCCAATCAAGAGTGTCACAGTAAGCAAGATAGATTGTACATTCTGACATTTAGAAATTATACACCCCCTCCGTCTTTGTTAGATACAACTTTTTGTATCACAACATGAGGTCTCTAGCCCTGCCAGATAAAGGTGACATCAACATCTTTATGCTGCAGCAGAAGTGGAAGTGTTTGCATTGGATATAGCAACTTCGAGAAGTTAACCATTTTAATCCAATGTATCCTGCCAAAGAGAGAGACTGGCAGGTCTTGCCATTGCTGCAGTTCCTTACAAATTTTCACTATCAGGGGGCATAATTTATAGTATACAGGGACATGGGAGTTTTCCAATTTGCAAACCTAAATAAGTAATGTGGCCTTTAGCTACACTAAATGGGGTAAGTGTATCCCAACTGATCTTGGGGTTCGATGCTAAATGCAGAACTTCTGTTTTAGAGACATTAATGCGTAGAGCTGACCATGTTGGCCAAATGAGATGGCGAAGTCCCAGCCCTCCTATTTCACAGAGAGTATACCTGATCTATCCTCTCTCAGCTCCATAACAGAGTTGAAATCATCACCCAAGATTTTGTTTGAATTTCCATCTTGTAGCACCCAGGAAATAACCTCTTGAAAATACAATGGAACAGGCGTAAATATTGTATATTCATTATATTTCAGACGGTGTAGAATAGCGTTTTATTGAGCAGAATAGCTTAAAAAAAAAAAAAGCATTTTTATTTTTCTCCTTATTGCTGGTTAAAGAGATTTCCACTCACTTCCCGTTTTTGGGGAGAACCTTTTTATTACACAGGAAACCTGACAGTTCTAAAGCTTCCCCACCCTACCCAAAACTAAAGTAAATGTGGCTATATGTACACTTAAATCTGTGATTTTATCTGGTAAAAAACGATATACTAAATATAGAAAGTATATACAGTTCTCAGCAGGAACAGAAAATTGCCTTTTAGCCAACCTCTTCCCCTTAGTACACAATGCATCATTTCAGATGATGATCTCTAAAATAGAACAAAAAGAGAGAAAACTCAGAATAAACAGGCTGAGTATTATCCTAAAGCATGTCACTACTGCCCTCTGAAACACTCACTTCTCTACAATGTATTGACTTCTTAACCCTCCTCATTTTCTGCCTGATGCCTGAATGTGAATGTGTCATTGCCTGCCATAATTTAAAGGAATGTCTAGCAAAAACAGACACTAATATATAAAAAACACACATCTCTGGCCATAACGTTAACCCTTAACAAGCTCCAGAGAGTGTCTTTATATATTGCCAGAGGAGCACTTTTAAAACCTCAGCCTGGTTAGCCCCCCAAATCAAAATGTTTGAGCAAAACGTAAGCAGTTCGTTAGATCTTTGTTAGATCAGGTTAGATTAATTGTTGTTTACAATAGATCTCACATAAAAGAAGAGATATTAACAGTTATTTTCTGGGGGGTTAACCCTTCTTTAGCCCCCCCCCCCCTATTAAAAAATTGACCAAGCAGATAGCTTTTTTGGAAGCTTTTTGTTAGATCTCACATAATTACAGACTTATTAAGTGATTAATGGGGGCTAGCCCCCCCCAAATTAAACTTTCTGGCCAAAAAAACATTCAGGTCAATAGATCTTTGTTAGATCAGATAAGAGCAAGTGGTTTTAATGTTAGATGTCACAT